ATTCTTCTTTGAATGGATAAGTTAAATGGTTTCTTTTTACTTAATTTATTTTTTAGGCTTTAATTGCACCCACAAATGGAACTTAACAATCTCTTGCAGACAAGCGAAATTAAATCGAATTGTGGAATATATAGAAGGTGCCAGGGCGTAGCCAGAAAGAGTAATACTAGCCTTACAAAGATGTATACAAAGATCTATACAAAAAGTCAAATTCAGCCTTTAAAATTCATGATTGTCTTTTTCTCTTTCTTTTTTTCCCTTCTTTCAAGAGTTGGGTTTGACTCTTTATATGTCTCTTTGTAAGACTAGTATTACTCAGCCATAAATAATGTATAGGGGTCAAAGTTAAAACAACAATACAATTCTTGTTAATTAGTACATTTATAATTGTCCTCGACGGGATTTCATCTTTTGAAAATATTGTATAATAACTTCATCATCAATACTATCAAATACATCTTTTTCTATATACACAACTAAGCTATCATTCAACCATTGATCACTCATTCTATTTCGCAAACGATTCTTCACAAAATTTATTGTTGAAAATACTCTCTCTACACTAGCAGTGGCAACGGGTAGAATCAATGCTAATTTTATCAACAAATAAACTAATGAAAACACTCCATCCTTCTTAGTTTCAACCATCATTTTTGTCAGATCTCCAATCCCTTTTAATCCCATAAATTTGACATTAGAGTGCATATCCAAAATATAAACATCAAGTTGAGAATCAAGTGTCATGAGTTATAAGTCAGAAAAATCATCAGGATAAAGTTCGGCAAGGCGTATCAATTTCTGTTTATCAAAAGCAACAAACGATTTATTTAGACATAAACATGTCAAACAAATAAGCAATTAAGTGTTTACCTCATTTAAACGATTATTCAACTCTTGAAGTTGTATATCTAGGACATTATAAAATAATTCAATGTGATAATGACGCACGTTTGTGATACCTTGAGCCTTACGTTGTGATCGCCTTTGAATAAAAAACTTGTCATCCATATTAGGAACATCAATGTCATGATTGGCACAAGAAGAATAAATTTTGCTTAATAAAGTCTCCCATCCATTATCCCTCATCAATTGTAAAGCTTGCTTACATGCTTCAACCAAATTCATAGTATTTACAATATCCTGATCTTTTCTTTGTAGTGCTTTAGAAAGTTCATTTATAAAGCCAAGTATATCTTTCATAAAAAATAGACTAAACACAAAATCAAATGATTGCATTAATTTAAATATGTTTTTTGCATCAAATATTAGCTTAGAGTTTGACCCATCTTTTGCCACAATTTCAAGAACATCGATAATGAAACATCAAGATTATGCTCATTAACATATCATAATGCGAACCCCAACGCATATCACTGGCACGTTGTAGATTAGTCTCTTGATTGAGACCTTTTCTACTTGAAAGTACACCATCAGAAAGAGCTTCAATAACTTTATAAGTTTGCTTATCTCTAAGAAGATCGCAACGCTTTAACGAAGCACCAACAATATTAACCACAATCGCCACGATATTAATAAGATTATTAACATCATCATGGTTCTTTGCCAAAGCCACAAAAGCCAACTGGAGTTGATGGGCAAAACAATGAATATAATAAGCACATCTATTCTCTTTCAAAACCAATGTCTTCAAACCATTAAATTCTCCTTGCATATTACCAGCTCCATCATAACCTTGTCCTCGCAGTCTAGAAAAACTCAACCCATGCCTTGAAGAGAAATTATCTAGTGTTGCCTTGAGTGAGAGAGTTGTGGTACTAGTAACGTGTTTAACACCTAGAAAACGCTCCACAACAAGTTCATTCTTGTTAACATAACGTAAGACAATAGTCATCTATTCCTTCCTAGAGATATCACGAGATTCATCAATCATTATAGCGAATAATGAATCTCCTAAATCTCTAATGATAGCACTTACGGTTTCATTTGAAGCAGCACTTACAATGTCTTTTTGAATCTCAGGTGATGTCAATTTGAGATTATCAGGAGCATTCTTGAAAGCAACAACATTGTAATCTTCATTATGATTAGCAAGAAATTGTAAAAGCTCGAGAAAATTCTCTTGGTTGCTTGAATTATAGGATTCATCATGACCACGAAATGCAAGTCCTTGCCTTAGAAGAAAACGAATACATTCAACTATAGCATTTAAACGAGTTCGATACTCTATTCGTGCTTGAGAAGAATGTCGATAAAAAAATATCTGAATATGTTGGTCTTGATTCAATAATGCTTCACACATTCTTCGAGCTTGGTTATGAGCACTATTAGAACCTCCAACATGAATATTCAATTCTTCTTTCTTTTTTCAATTTGAAAACCCTTGACCAACAAAGCGATCACCACCCCCTTTATCATTATGGTTTAAAAAGATAGCAAATATCAATAAAGACAAAATGCAGCATCTTTGGCTATACTATATTCCAACCATTGTTCAAATTCACTAAACCAAGAAACAACAAAATGTCTTGAAAATCCATGAAAATACCTAGAAGGAAACTTATGGCCCTTAGGTTGACAACGACCCATTTCCAAATATATTCTTCGAATTTGATCTTGAATATTAGGATCATAATTTGAAATTCGGGGTCTTAAGCCTGGATCCGTAGGAAGATCTCGCAAATCAATATCCACATTTTTACTTGAATCACCAATATTTTCCTCTTGTTCAAATGATGAGATCATTGTTGACTTTCTTTCGAAATATCTCTTCATACTATTTCAAAACAATAATATATTATTACTTGATAGAGAAAAATACAGCAAAATAAGTTAAGTACTCAATAAAACCAAACAATAACAATAATCTATGTATACAATAATAATTATTAAGATAAGTGAAATTACAACTACTACAAAAATTTATAAAGCTAATAAGTTAAAGTATTATAACAATACATACACATCCCAACTCAAAAGTATATCTCTTTCTTTTTCTAATTTGTAAGTACTTTAACAAGAATTAAATTAAAGTAATAGAAATTGAATTGAAATAAATCTTAATGTAGTATTTTTTAAAAATATATCTTACATTATATACATTGGCTAAAATTCAATTGATATGTGTAAAAAATCTATTCAAATAACCAAACACTTGTACAATTAAATCCACTTTTTCATAACACTTGTAAAACAATTAAAATTAGCTCTCATTTGAATCAAACACTTTTTTATAACAAATATAAAAATGGGTAAAATAATGTCGTCCTAAGAATGATGAACCCATCTTCTCCATAAAAAAAAACAACACAAAATTGTCATGGGCCAACTCCAAAATCAATTTGAATCAAACACTTTTTATATAACAAAGATAAGAATGGGTAAAACAATATGGTCCCAAGAACTCATCTTCTCCATATAAAAAAAAACACAAATTCGGCTATAATGGTAAAACATTGTGATCCCAAAGCCAACTCCAAAATTCATTTGAATCAAACACTTATATATAACAAAGATAAAAATTAGTAAAACAATGTGGTCATAAGAACTCATCTTCTCCATATAAAAAACAAAAAAAGGGCAATATGGAATGGGTAAAACAATGTGGTCCCAATGCCAACTCCAAAATAAGTTTAAAAACTATCTCCTTACTTCCTCTAACTTCAATATATCATTATAAATAAATAAAAAATGGATGCAATTTGTAGTCCCATTGACAATTTCATCTTCCTAATCTATAGTTTAATCTTAAACTTTTAAAATAAAACAATACAAGCATAAAATATATTACCTGAAAAATTGAAGAAAAATGGGACTTGTTGGCTTGATAGGAGGAGAAAATTACACTTGTGTGGATAAAGCCTTAAAGGAAAATAATTGACTTATAGGTTATTGAAGAGGAAGAAGACGTCTGAGGGAAGGAGAATGATGGGTTTACTTTTAGCAAGAGAACGAAGGGTTTACTTTTAGTTTCACAGCCCCCAAAACAAAAAAGTGTAATTTATTGGGCATAAATATATAATACAGTTTTTTGGTATTTTAATTTTATATAGGGGTAAATTTGTAAAAACATAGCAAAATTTTTTAAAAGTCAAGGAGAGTCAACTGACCCTCCTTGACTCCCCCTCCCTCCACCCCTGGAAGGTGTTGATGTTTGATTTTGACACCAACAACTCGCACGTGTGAAATGCTAAGCGGACTCAGAAGTCACACGTGATATGGGAATATTATGTTAAATAAGGGGTGAGAGGCAATGTTTAAAGTGGTTCGGATGCTTTGGAGCGAATCCTACGTCTACTGTTGTTGTATTAATAAGAGAGTGATTAGGTTGCGTTCAGCGAGCTGAGTTACAGTTTAGAGAGAGAGTTATTTCAGTGTAAAATTAACTAATTCAGCTAACCCCCCAAATGAGAGGGAAATCCTCTATTTATAGTGGGAAAACTCAAGGTGATGATTATGAAAGTTGTAAGTGGGTAGGTGTCATGCAAATCCTTTCTTTGTGTCTCATTGATCACCTGCTCGAGAGATTTCCTCGATTAAAGCAGGGCTTTGACACTTGGGCGATCTCCAGCCACTTGCTGGCTTGACACCCAGCAACTACACTGACAGGAGCCATGCCACTTGCGCTGGGCGCGACGTGGCCGCACCTGGACTGCACAGAACCCTTCTGAACTCTGACCATCCTTTACTGATGAGGCTCCATGTCAGCTCTATCTTTTTAGGCATAACAGAAGGAAAATGACCTTCATAACAAAATGTATTGCTTTTAACACAAATTAAATAAATAAATATTCAATGTAATAGAAAAATACAATAAAATAAAAGTAATTCAAAAGATTTTAATAACAATATGTACATAAGAAATTCTGAGAATTGGATTGGGCTAGAAAGTTCTTAAAATGGACCTAGTGGGCCTTGATGGGCCAAGTTAATGAAAATGGGCTTTAAATTTTCCAAGCCCATTTGTGCTGTCAACAAAAGACACCTGTCACTGTCAAAACACCTATCTCTTCATTAACACGGTTGGGAACAGCTGACGTGTTCATTTTTGCTCCGTTTGTCTAAAGCTGAAGTCCTGTGTCCAAACCCCTCTTAAACCCTCTCTTCATCAACACGGTTGACGTGTTCATTTTTGTGCCATTTGTCTAAAGCTGAAGTCCTCTGTCCAAACCCCTCTTATACCGTTTCCCAAATTCTCGATCTCAAATCTCTCTCGGCGGCGGGCGATAATGGTGGTGCCGTCGTCGTCAGCCACATCACAGTCTCTCCGCTTCTCATTCTCAATTACGCCCTCGCCATCACGTACATTACCTAAACAGCCCCTCCCAAAGTCCAGCTTCCGCCTCTCTCGTTACGTGCCGTTACTCAAACCGATCTCAGCCGTCAAAACCGAAGTCTCGGTCCCCGATGAGCGTAAACCGCCTATATTCCCGACGGTCGGCGGCCCGAATGTGGAAGCGATTGAGGTTGACAAGGTGACGGAGGCGGAGCTGAAGGAGAATGGGTTCAGGAGCACGCGCAGGACGAAGATCGTGTGCACGATCGGACCACGCACGTGCGGGTTTGAGGAGCTGGAGGCTTTGGCTGTAGGAGGTATGAATGTGGCGCGAATTAACATGTGCCACGGCACGCGTGAGTGGCATCGGCAAGTTATCGAACGTGTGCGGCGGCTGAACGCAGAGAAAGGGTTTGCTGTTGCGGTAATGATGGACACTCAAGGGAGCGAGATCCACATGGGAGATCTTGGCGGTGCCGCATCAGCTAAAGCCGAGGTAATGAAGTCAAATTACTGATAAAAAATTAAAGCTTGGTATTTGCCTCTTAATAATAAGTGATTTGCTCTATGAAATCTGTTTTGGATTCTGTTAACAAGAGACAAACCTTATTTCAAAGCTGATTTTGATCCAATGGTAACCATTTACTTATATTTTGCAGGATGGTGAACATTGGACCTTTACTGTGCGTCCTTTTGATGTAAATTTTCCTGAACGTACTATTTCTGTCAATTATGATGGTTTTACTGAAGGTATAACTTTAGAATTCCCAATTATATATGTTGTCTAAATGCAGTCCCTGGCTGCAATTTTATGACTTTAAAATTTCATGTTACTTAATAAACTCACCTTTATGGCTTCCAAGATGTCTATAGATAGTTTGATATTTGTTGAGAGACCGGAATTAACAATTATGTAACAGGGGTGTAAACGAGCGAAGCTGGCGCGATAAGGCTCGGTTTGACTCGACTCGACTCGAACTCGATTCGTTAACCGAGTCGAGTTCGAACACACAGTGAAGCTCAGCTCGGGGCTCACGAGCCTGGCTCGGCTCGTTGGCTCGTGAGCCTGGTCGACTCTATTAAGCACTGTACACTTTAAGGTGTTTTGTGATTTTTTAAACTACTAGGTATAACTGATATTTAGTGAAAAAAGTTTAAAAATGACAGTCCCCCCCACCAAGTGCAAATTGAAATAACACGATATTACAAAGCAGAGCGCATTTCAGTTCATGGCTTCGCCCTAAATCCCAAATCGGAATCAAAGACCCCAAATACCAATCGGAATCAAAGACCCCAATCCCAAATCACGAACCAGACACTCTGAATCGTAATCTCTATCGCAATCTTCGATCTCGGCAAACGGAAAGGAGGCCAACACTCTGAAACATTCCAGGTTTGTTTGTTTATGCTTTAGAGAAGTGAAATGATGTACCGCAAATTTCGTTACCAGTTTTTCTGCGTCATTACAAAATTTTATTGTACATCCAAGCAGCCCCCTAAGAAAACATTTACCAGAGTGGATGCTTACTCTAGGGATGCTATTGTTCAAAAAGAATACATATTGTGTTGTCTCTTCTTTTGCCCGTGTGGGATTTTTAGAAACTGTAATTGCTAAAGTACATTGAGTTATGAAATGCTAATGTTTGTGCTCATCTACTACTTTTTGTGGTAATTGCCTTTACCAATTATTCCTCTATTTTCCAATCATGGCTAAAAACAATAGGGATTTTCGGCTTAAATAGAGCACTAGAAGTTCATGGATTAGTTAAATTCTTTATTTAATCTATTTTAATTTGGTTCCCAAGAACCTTACAAAACACGTCTTCCTATGGATGCTAGCTTTTTTATTTAGATTTTGAATCTTGCATTCTCCAAACTGTAGTTTTTATACTAGCTTTACTTATGTGTCTGTAGAAAGGTGATTGGTCTAGATCAAATCCTTGTAGTAAAATTGAGTTATGAAATTGACGTTTCTTAAACTGACATTGAGTTACATCTGAGCCATAGTTTTTACTACAGTTACCGTGTATCTTATTTCAACTAGAAAAAGTGTAGATGGCTTGTTGATAGCTTTGCAAAAGTTAAGTACGTATATCAACTATCAAGTGTTGGACAGACTGCTGTAAAATAAGAGATCATTTACAAGGTAGGTGTGTTTATGGATTATCTATGCTTGTGATCCTGCTCATGCTAGTCTTGTTGTATTTGTATAACTATATCTCAGATGTCTACAAAATGCATATTGCTAAGCACACAGTTTCTCCACTTTGATGGATTCAGAAAGTGACATACCACCAACAAAAAGAAGTTTTAAAAATTCAGTTTCCCTTTATTCAGCACTGGAATCTCTCAAAATATGGTTGTTACCACCTTATGTTAGAAATTTGTTTTGATCATCCCTTGAGATTTTTCAACAATGTTGAATATTGAAGTGCACACATATACTAAATTAATCAAAATTAGAAACTCTGTGCTTGGCAATATGCTATTGATTACAGTATCGCTGGAGATATTTTAAAATGAAATAACCTTAAGTTGGTGTGCAGTGAATTAGGGTAGGTTAGTATCTCATCTGTATAGCAGTTGTTACATTGGTTTAATTTTGTTGTTGGTAAAGCTTGAGTTGAGTGAAACAGGTAAGGCTTCAGTGGTTTAACTTGGCTTTTTGGTGATTTCCAATTTGCTTAATTAGCTAGCAATTTGAGATTGAAACAGGGAACAAATGGATAGAAAGAACATTGGATCACTGTTATCCTCATATCTTACTTGATAATAAAGTATTATAATATGGTTTTATACTGATTCAGTGTTTATGTCAACAAAAGATTTGCTTGAATTGTGTTGGTCACTATCTATGTACAATTGAAAGATGTTCTCCTTCACCTGCACACGATAGTGCACCAAAAGGATGAAAGAACATTTGAATTTGTGTTGGGTATTTTTGGTGGCTGTTGTTTTGTACAACTAGAGCAGTTGATCTATTTTCCAGAAGTCCTGCATTTTTTTGCTGCTGGTCTTTTTGTATAGATCTTTTGAGGCTAGTTGGTGGTTGTTATGGATCGTAAATCGTGCCTTTCCTCGTGTTGATGGTGGACTGTATATGTACTCCTAGGAATGTATTTGTATATATTCAGAGCTTTTTTGATTTTATAAGGTATAGACATTTTGTAATATTCGAAACTGTCATGGTTAATTCAACATTAGATGTAAATATGAATGTTGTACGCAGGCAATTGCTGTAAAAAAGGGAACTGGCTCGATAAAACCGGATAAATGGTGGTTTGATCGAGCCTCATTGAGCTCAAGCTCGATAAGGGCTCGCGAGCCTTATCGAGCTCGAGCTTGATAAGAGAGCTCGATAAGGCTCGCGAGCCGCTCGAGCTCGACACTGTTGAACGAGCAAGCTCGATAAGCCAAAAGCTCGACTCAGCTCGGCTCGTTTACACCGAAACTGAAAAGCGTCTCCTAATCTATAATTTAATCTTAAACTTTTAAAATAAAATAAGACAAACATAAAATGTATTACCTGAAAAATGGAAGAAAAAAGGGACTTATTGGCTTGATAAGAGGAGAAAATTACACTTGTGTGGATAAAGCCTTAAAGGAAAAGAATTGGCTTTATAGGTTATTGAAGAGGAAGAAGACATCTGAGGGAAGGAGAATGATGGGTTTACTTTTAGCAGGAGAACAAAGGGTTTACTTTTAGTTTCACAGCCCCCAAAACAAAAAAGTGTAATTTATTGGGTATAAATATATAATGCAGCTTTTTGGTATTTTAATTTTATATAAGGGTAAATTTGTAAAAACATAGCAAAATTTTTTAAAAGCCAAGGAGGGTCAACTGACCCTCCTTGACCCCCCCTCCCTCCGCCCTTGTTTTCATTGAGAAACAATTAGGAATGACACATTATTTTCAACTATATGTTATAGTTTAAATCTCAACCTATTTGAATTAGGAAACAAATACACTTTAATTAAAATTGTTTTAACAAATTAATTTCATATGATCCTATTTTAATTAGGAAATAAATATGACCTTCATTGTCGCAACCCTATCTCCAAGGAAATTAAATAAAGAAACTCATATTCATATTTCATAATTCGTGGTGACGAGTAGTAGTTGGAATTCCTGTATGTAATGGTAACGTCGACTACAAAAATATAGGTAATAAATAAAAATACATTATAAGGATTAATATTAAAAAAAAAAAAATGAGACAATTTGTACAAAATAAAGTTGAACTAAATAAGGAAACCAACATATACTAGGATTACTCAACATTAACACTATGTTGTTCTTATATAAATACTAAATTATCTTTCACATTCTATTAATCACGAAAAATGTAGACTTACAAAGAGAAATATAAAGAGGGGTGTACAAAGTGACATGATAGGTGATGCCACGTCACTCACTTGCCACATAATCATTTTTTTTTTCTTTTTGAATTCTCTTCTTCTTTCTCTCTCCCCTTCTTCTTCTTCTTCTTCTTCTTCGTCTCTCTTTCTCTGTTTTTCCCTTCTTTCTTTGATTTTTTCTTCTCCTTCCTCTCTTCCCTCTCCTTTTTATTTCTCTCTTTATCAATTAAAGAAAACACTGCATCCATGATTGTATTTGTCTATTTGAGCAAGGGCGAGCATGGGTTGCCGACGAACGGCAGCCCGTCACGACTTGACCTAAGCTCAAGCCTTCAAGTCGTGATTATGTTTCTCTTCTAAGCCGCCACACTCCAGCCTTGTGATTTTTATTTGAAAAAAATTAAGAGATTTTAAAAAGAATTTGCTGACTTTGTTAGATTTATTTGTTGATTTTATTTCATGTGAAATTTAAATTAGTGTTGGGTGATTTTGTGCAACTAGTGTTGAGTGTTTTGTTGGTTGGTAGTGTTGGGTGTTTGGAGTTGCAGTGGTGAGTGTTTGTGGTGGTGGTGAGTGGTGGCGACGACAATAGCTGGTTGTACTGGTGAACTAAAATGGTATTTTTGGGATTGAGAATGTACTTTAGTTACTAATCCAATTTTAGAATCCAGATTTTTTTAAAGTGATGATGTTGGTGGCAGCGACGGTAGCTAGTTGCAATGGAGAAGTGAGTTGGCTGCAGTGTTTTCTTTAATTGGTAAAGAGAGAGAAATAAAAGAGAGAAGGAAGAGAGGAAATATAAGAAAAAGTCAAAGGAAGAGGGGTAAAAGAGAGTGAAAGACAAAGAAGAAGAAGAAGAGAATTCAGGAAAAAAAATTAGTTATGTGGCAAGTGAGTGACGTGGTAAGTGAGGTGGCATTGCCATATCAGTTGCCACGTCACTTTGTATTTCTCTTTGTAAGTCTAGCCTTTCCTATTAATCATTTCATTTGTTTCCAAAATTTCTCTCTGTTTCTCTTAGTTTATTTCTTTATCTTCTCTTAGTTTACTGTCCTCTAATATTCCTTCTATCTTTCAACACCTTGATCTCTCTTTCCTGCTTACTCTTTTGCCTCACAAAAATCTATTCACTTCTGCAACCTCCAAGGTAGCGTCATGCGCTTTTGATTTGTTTTCAATGTCTTTCTTGATTTCTTTATTTTCACGTACATATTGCAGAAATATAAGGATATATCTTATGTATAGCAAAAATATAGGGACTATTATTAAATTTAATGAAACAATTTATACAAAATAAAACCTAAACGAAATAAGGAAACTAATATATACTGGGAATACATAATACTAAACATTAACGCTACACTATTTTGTATATATAAGTGATCATCTTTCCCATCTTATTTGTTTCTAAAATCTCTCTCAATTTCTTTGCCTTTCTATTCTTTTAATAGTTTCTATTAGATATGTGTGGGACACCAATGATGGGAC